AAAAGAGAAGAAAAGAAAACCTTGGAAGAATTTTTCTTGGCGTGGAGCATTCTATGAAATTTGGATTTCAAGTGAAATGCTTCCAGGCAGGGACAGAACAGAGCTCTGTGCCTTGGGCCCTACCAACACCCTGGAATGTGACCAAGTGCTGCTCCTTCCTGCAGAGAACAGGCACGAGTGGGTCCAGGGCTGCAGCAAAGCAGTGGCAGCTTTCCTGATATGCAACACTGCAATTTATGCTGTAAACCGTTGCTCAGTTTTGGAGGCAAAAGGAGATAACACTCCTCTGGAAAAAAAATATCTTTGCCCATCTAAATTCTCCCCATTACTGAGCAAATGGTTTTGCAACAGCAAATTTATTCCTCCGCGTCTCCGGTGCTCTTTTTTGTTTGAAACAGCCCCAAACAGATTGTGATTTTCTCTAACGGATTCACCATCTGGGAGATTTTTCATGCAGCTCCTTTCCTCAGGGGGAGCAAGTTACTCAGAGGGGGATTCCCAGCGGAGAGCAGGATGCAGAGGGATGGGTGGTTCATTTAATTAGCATGCATAATCCCGACGTCCTTACTCAGGCAGAACTCTCAGCAGGGCCAAGGGGAGGCCGATTTTGTCTTCACAGAGGAACCAGCTGAGGACTTTGCTATTTGTCTCTCGGTGTTACACACAGCATTTTCCACGTGAGGGAGCGTTGGCCCTTGCAGGCATTGGGGGCCGATTTACTGCAGCCCCACAGCTCCATCCCACAGCACTGCAGTCTCCTGCAGCGCAAGGGGGGATGTGGGGAAGAGGCCTGAGGACCCTCAGCTCAGAGCAGCGCTCAGCACAGCATGAGAACTGCCCAGCATCTTAAACCAAACACTTTTCACCGACTCATTAGTGGACAGAACTTTGCTTTGAAGTGACATTTTCTGGGCACGATGAGCGCTTTGAAGCGGGAAGACAAAATTAGCGCAGGGAGTTGGCAGGTGAAGAAATGAGAGGGGTTTTTTTGTGTTGGTTTTTTTTTTCCCAGGCAGCAGAGCCGTCCAGGAGCTATGGAAACCTTGTTTGGCTAAATACAATCATGGAAAGTTAACAAGGCTTCATATTTTCCAGCAACTCTTCCCCAGAACAGCGTGCTATCTGCGTGTGCTAGAGCCTCCAGAACAGACAAACCATTCCTGGAAGTAAACGTGCCACGCTGCTCTCTGTGCCTGGTAATAGATGCTGTCTCCTACACCCCCAGGGGGAAAGAAGCAACACCAGCAACGAATGAGAGCCCTGGGAGGAATCACAGCGAGCTGTTAGCTGGGCAAGGCCTTAAGGCAAAAGCTCAGTGCCTTTTTGAGAGAGGAGGAGCCGGGCTGCCCCCACATCAGAATGGTACCAGCATCACAGGACTGAGCTGCTGCTTTTTCTTCATAAACAATCGATGCATCAACATGTTATAAAAAAGATACGTTTAATGTGGGTGGCACATTTCACACGGGATTTAGCAGCACCCCAAACACCAGCTGTTGGCAAGTTATGAAGAGTTAACGAGGCGAAACTCCAGCACTTCAATGGCTAACAGGTCAAGCCACCTTGCCACTGCAAACCACTTCCAGCCCACACAGTGCAGATGGACAGCTGGCACCTGGTGGCTCTGGGTGGGCAGGGGTGCCTGGGGGGCTGCAAAGAGCAGGGCAGAGCTGGCATGTGTGTGGGGGACACGCTCCCCCAAATCCATGTTTCCAGGTTTTTTCCTCATTACTCTTAACCCCGTTTTTAGCAACATTTAAAGCCCAAACGTGGCAAGAAAATAAACCCAACCACACAAAAGGGAACAAACTAGCTGCTCTCATTGTCCAGGATGGAATCAGTGTGAAGGAATGCCAAAAGGAATATTTCAGAAGATTTTAAAGTTACAGCCAGACAGCAAGACAGGAAGACAACGTACTTCAGAGCCGGATCTACCCCTTCCAGCATCGACTTTTGGAAAGAGCAGAGAAATTCCCAAACATAAAGGCTCCCAGTGGGGCACAGTTTGCAGGTCCCCACTTCACAGCATGTTTCTGGCAAGTGACAGTATTGGTCACTTGTTGGGCTCTTGAAAAACAGAAAGCCCATCTCCTGCCCCTGTTTTCTTATTTGTTGTATTCCAGCAAGTTGTTCCTGCCCCCCTTACTAAAAATGCCACGTTTTTCAGTGAAAAGAAATGGGGAAAATAAAATAAGAATTAAAAACAACAACAAAAAAAAAACAGTTAAAAAAAAAACGATACTCCATAGCAATGACCCAGCATTGCCAGCAGCCACATCTCTGACTGCTGCTTACCGTTATTTGCACGTGCTTAGCACTCCTCCTGCCCTGCTGCAGTTTGTGCTGGGAAGCAATTCGGGGAATCTCAGCTGCTTCAGAAAATATATTTTGGCAATGTAGTCCTGAAAGCTTAAAAAAAAACACCCTCAAAAACACCAAATTTAAATTCTGAATCATTACCAAGATCTTACTTATTCTGCGATCTCCTGGGGATGCTGTGAGGTTTAATTAGCTCTAGTTGGAAAATGCTCTGAAGAAGTGCAGTAAAGGTGCCAAATGCTGCTCCACTCACAGAGATCTAAAATGTTCAAATTATTGCATCGTAAAACAAATCATTTGAAAATTAATTCCTCTTCCTTGCCAGCATGACTTCAAAGGGACCTCATTTCCCCCACCAGGCCAGGAGCATCCAACTGCCCGAGCGCTGCTTGGTGTCCGACCGCTGCTAACAGCCAAGACTGAGAGCATTCCCAACTTCACATTGCCTCCGAGGTCTCCTCAGTTATTTAATCTTCAAGTTGTACATTTTTGTGGGCAATTGCACTCATGATTCAGGGCAATCTGACTATATGTTAGGCTGTGCTTGTAAAGGAAGAATGGGGAGTCCTCTGTCTTGTAAGCAACCTATCCCCAAGCTCTCTTGGCAAACACCTGCAGACTTGGCAAACACTGCTTTGTGGTGAGTTGATGAGGATACCTACTTCTTCCTTCGTGTGTTCTGTAGAAACTGAAGGCAGAGGACAGATGGGCAGGCTGCACAACAGAGGGGTACAACAGAGCCTCTTGGTTGGACACTGCTGCAGGAGCAGGCAGCAGCCAGAACAGGCTGGGTGGGGAGCATTGCAGCACAAATCCCCCCTTCACCCATTCAAGTCACTAAGGTAGAACAGGGTCCTACCACCACACCTGCAGCCCGTGCTGCTCCATCGACACAGGACAGCTGGCAGCAGGGGGCTGCTGGGTGCCTCTTAGCACACAGCAGGCTGTTTGCTGGCAGCTGCAGCTCACATTTCCTACAGAAATTCTCCAGCATAAAGTCACACAGTCCATACAGCCTGAGCTGTAGCACTCCAGCTGTACTGGGCTGGGAATTACTGGGAATAGCCTCTACCTGCAGGCAGGCTGAGACCTGCAGGACATCAAGGCCCTGTGGACCACAGTATGCTCCCAGAACAGAGCTCTGGGGAGCTCCACAGTTACGAGAAAACTTCCAGAAACTGCAGCTTGTGGCATACATGATGCCAAGACTTTCTTGCAGAAACAGCCTTTGGTTCCCACAAGGCTAATCTAAAGTCCACAACCACCACTGTCCATAATTTATTCAGCTCTATGTGTCCAGTTTGCATTATATTACACCAGTACTGTAATGGTTGATAATGAGATAATTTCTGGTTTTGCTTCAGCTTCAGACAGAAGCTTTCCTATTTTGCATCTGTAAAGCTACAAATCAGAGTACGTGAGCAAAAGGCTTCAACATGCACACAAATACAGGCTGAAGCACTAAGTGTTCTCTCCTCTGTGCTCACTGATTTTGCTCTCAATCCACTCGCATCTCAAACTAAAGACAATGGGGGAATGGCCACGTATTTCCAGTCTTGCTTATTTCATTGCAATTGACTCCAGTGATTTCAGGGGAGAAAGGGAAAAGGATCAAAATAAAACTTAGGCCAAGATCTGGTCTGCTTAACTGCCTGCAAAGGAACAATCCAAAATCTCAGATCAGGACCAGTGAAACCAAGCTTAGCGCTTAATTCTCTTCTTCAGCTGTGAGGAAAGTTGTCCAGTCACACTGCAGCAAGGATAGGAGAGAAAGCTGTCTGTAACTGTGCACAACAACCACTGCCCTTCAGACTGCACCCTCAAGCTCTCCCAGCCTCATCTCATTGCTGTCCATAAGACAGAAGTGCTTCCATGAGAAAACTGGAACCAAGCAACTCAGGGAAGAGCGGGACCAACCACCAACATCTAAACCACCACAACGGGTTTCCATAATCACTGCAAAATGATAACAATTTTGCTATGACTGGGAATTTCAAGAGCACATGACACTGAACACTGCTCCCATCACTCCAATGGATTTGTTCTGCTGGGGTAGGACTCAATTACTTGGCATTAATTGCCTGAAAAGGACAAAACCATTCAAAGCTATATAATCACATTAAAGTGGACAACATGATACAAGTGGGTTGAATGCAAGCCTTGCGTTAATCTCAAAAATAGTATCAAGAAAAAAAAAGACCACAAAACCAAAAGCACAACAGTCTGTTGAATTTGGCCCCATATTCTTAGCTGGGAATACGCAAAATGCAAACTACATAGAGAAAGGACAGCACTGGTGTGGTAGAATACATATTACATGCCCGAGATACGAAGGAATGTTTTCAGAAAAAGGGTAAGGACTTTTTTCTCAGAGTGTGGGGCACGAGATTTTCTAGATTCTGTGCTCCAGAAAATGCACTGCCTTTTCCATGCCTACAGGAATACAGGAACAGCAGCGAGGCAGGCTCCTATGGACTAAAAGAAATGGATATTAACTCGCACTATGCAAAGAATAAACACCCAATCAAGTGCTGCACTTCGATCATCAAGATGGCACCTTAACCCTTACAAAAAAAATAATACAAATTCCAGAGACAAGTACATTAATTTATCAATAAGAAGTAGCACTGATAAATAAATTAATTTATATAAAAAAAAAAAGAAAAGGGGATATTGACAAATTCCGGGGTGGAAGAAAAGTCACCTTCTTAGCCCACATGCGCTTGTTTTTATTTACATATCCACAAATACCATGAAGCACCATCCCAGCCCCCCCACTAGCAGCATGGTCACATGAATTCCATAGATGAGCAGTTCATTCATGAGGCTGAAGTCCACTCGCCTTCGCCCCAGTAAGAGGAGGATGATGGAGAGTTTGTACTGGAAACGCAGAAAGATCCGGATGCCAAGGTACTGAAGGCAAAACAAGATAGAGAGTGCCACCCAGAGGATGGAGGTAAACAGGCTGCAGCTGAAGTACAGCAGGAAACGAATGAATCCGTACATCCATCGGGATTTGAGATAGATGTCAAAGTTGTTGTACTTGGTACGCACCAGGTGCGTGGTCCGCACCGGGCCACAGGCTGAGTGCAGGCAGGTCGTGTGGGGGCCGTGGAACGAACGGACCCGGCGGGGGATGGGGATTACAGGCATCAGGCACCCCACCGGTCACCGAGTCCCAGTGCAGGACTTACAGGGCACATATCAAACGTCAGCCATTGACATGGAACAGCCCCGGCAGCCTGGGAACGCTAAGGGTTTGCTGAGTCGCCAGGATGGAAGAGACCTGCAGGAAGGCAGAGAAGGAAGACAACGTTGAAGCAGCCCCAGCAGGAGGGCACGCAGCAGGGCTGGCACTCCCCAACCTGGCAGTCAGATACAACTCTGCCTGCAGTTTACCCAGGCCAACGTGCAGAAACAGAATCGTTTCCACCATCATCAAGTCAGATCCCCAAAAGCAATGCAACCAGTAGCATCCGAGCGGCAGCGCAAGTTTCAACTTGTTACAAGTTTTACAGTGCTGCTAAAGGAAGGAGGAAAGCTTCATTCAGGGATTATGGTGGCTAATTCACAGGCCTTTCTTAATCAAACAGCAGCCCCCCCAACAGTCCACCCATGCAAAAGTCATATTAATGCATGTGTTTGGATCTTTGCAGCTGTTTTGCCTTTACAAATCGATCTCCAAACGCTTTTTCAAGTGAATTTTACAGCCCAGGCACAGTGCTGATCACACATCTCTGCTCATGCCAGAACCTGGCAAAGCTTCACCAAATAAACTGAAAATAACGGAAGGTCTCACAAGAACAATGAAGCAATCATGTTTTTCACACCCCACAGGATGTACCTCCCCCTGCTTGGATGAGCCCTGTGGTCTCGCTGTCATTGCATCCAATGGCAAGGCAGCATTTCAAAGATAGCAAACAGTTTATTTCTCCTTTTGTGACCTGCAGAGATAAATATCTCAATCTCGTGGAGTGTTTAGGATTTATAATCTCAACATCCTTCGCACACTGCTGTTATCAGAGTGATGAGCAGCAGCCCATTAGCTGCTCTCTGCTTCACCCCAGGCTCACGGTGTGCCAAATTCCGGGAATTATGAAATAACAATACATGCATCAGATCATGCTGAAAACAACAGGGACTTCCCAGCCTCCTCACACGCCCAGGCATTCAGACTCTTGCTGAACGTGAGATCCTATGACTGTTAAAATTAAAATCAGAGTAACTTAGAAGTTACTTCAGTAATTTTTACTGGCCCCAGGTTCCAATTCCTTTCCCTTTGTTGCAGAAATCTGTTGGCTCTATATGAATTGCACCGATAAAGAGGAAAGTGAGCCAATGTATGAATAAAGAATTTTGGAAATTGAGGTCTGTTCTCAAATATCAAAGATATTCTTGTAGTTTCAAGTGCCTCTCTGCCGTAATTTCCTGCCTGTAAAAAGGAAACGCTAAATAGCTCAGAAGTGTGTTAGAAGGTATTTTGCAAGGCACATGAAGTGGATAGATGCTAATCTGACACTGCTTCAAAAAACAACAGGTTTTTTGTGCCTGGAGCATGCAACTGAACAGCACAAACACAACAACAGCTCTCAGCGAGACCACACCTGTGTAACAGAGAACAAACCTCACTTGCATAAGCAACAGTTTGCTCTGGGGTTAACAGCACGCCGACTCCATGTCTGGTTTCTGTCTTAAAAGAGGAGTTTTGGTTATCTCTGATAAAACCTTCAACAGGTGAATGTAGGAGACCTCAAACAGCTCAGCTGCAGCAACTCAGGCCTTCTGAACAGCAGCAACTCACTGTCATTTACCGTGCCCACCACATAAACAAACTCTGTCAGGTTGTTGTCCTCAGATAAATACCAAATACCAACACTATCGCAGCCAAAAGCAGAGGGGTGTTGCACAAACAAGAAACTTTCAGAAACGTTACATTGTAAATGATGCTGTCATCCACCCAGCAGAAGGTCGGAAATTCGCTGCCGTTTCTGGGTGCCACTTAATTCTTGTAACGAAAGAGTGAAGTTCTCCTGTGACACCTGGCCTCCTAGGAAGAGTAAAAGAAATCGCTAAGGTGCTTCAGACTCACAACATTCTACACATGAATTGATCTAAAAGATAAAAGGAGAGATTAGTTTTCAGCGTGCTCATTTTGAGCGTTAGGAAGTTCAGAACTACAAGGCTTCTCCCCAGATATGTTTAAACCCATCAAGATTTTAAGAAGGCTCACATGCTCAGTAATTTACGCAGCACAGCTCGCTGATACATGCTGAAAAAATCACCTAAGTGCACACAGAGCCAGAAGCACAGGCATGGATGGGAGAATGAGGGCAGAATTACAGGTAACGAGCTCTGGTCTGTCACTTCCTTTGTCACGGAAGCAGCTCCGGTATGAAACAACACGGTGCACACATACTGCCAGCATACAGAAGCAGAATACATAGAAGCAGGCCCAATCTACGTGGAACCGGTGCATCCGCACAGCTCGGCACCATCTCCCGGGCCTGCTGGAAGGCACAGCGCTGCGAGGCCGGGCACGCAGCTACCTCGGCCCCAGCCGCGCTGCCGTCACCCCGACAACGCGGGATGCCGAAGCGCTGCCGGCCGGTGGGCTTCAGCTTCAGCCCGCCTCCCTCCGAGGTCTCCCAGCAAGGTGAGGGCCAATGACAAATAAAGGTGAGCGCCGACCGAGGAGCGCCAGAAGGAGGAGAAACCCAAACTCCTCCTCCATCCCACCCAGCCCGCACCGCTCGGGAAGGGGCCGCGCTCCGAGCCCCGAGCCCGCCGCACCGGGGCGCGGGCCGCCGCTCGGGCCTCCCTCGGCCCCCGGCCCGCCCTCAGAGCGCGGCGAGGCCCCGGCGGGCGGCAGCGGCCGCAGCGGCCGCCGCGGCGGAGTGAGGCCCTTCCCGCCGCCGCCGCCTGCCCGCCGCCACCCGCCGCTTCCCCCCGCCCCGGGGCGCCGCCCCGCGCTCACCGTCCTGCCCATGGTCTTTCGTCGGGCGGCGGCCGCCGAAGCCTGGCGTCCCGGGCCCGGGCTGAAGGAAGGCCCGGGCCTACGGGCGGGCGCCACACCGCGCATGTGCAGGGAGCGGCGGCGCTCCGGTTCCGGCCGGTGGCGGCGGCGGCGGCGGCGGGAAGGGAGCGGCCGGGGCGGCGCGCGGTGATGGCGTCATCACACCGCGCCACGGCCGCCGGAAGCGGGAGGGCGCCGCGTCGCTCGGGCAACGCGCGTGGGGTGGTGGGGGGGCTTCGGGGCGCTGGGCGGCACCGCCGGGCCTCGGGGCGGGGAGAGCGCGGCGGATCTGGCTGCCCGCGTCGGTACGGAGCTGCCGTTCCTGTTCTGCCGTCCGTAGGGCCGATGGCGCCTCGTGGAGCCGCTCGGAGGCGGCGGGCCCGCGTTGCTGAGCGAGGCGAAGTGACAAAAGCCGCTTCTGAAGGTGAATCCGGCCTTCAGCGCTCACCGGGCGGTGCTCCGCAGGGCGGCTCGGCCCGGAGCCGCTCGCATATCGTGGCTCACCCCGCTCTGGGCTGGGCTGAGTCCACGAGGTGCAGGAACAGCCGCGGTAGGGAAATCTGGGGATTGTGAATCGGTGATAATAAATAACCTGCAACAAGAACGGGGACGAGGTTTCTCAGAGTCACCTTTCAGGGCCCAGAATGAGGCTTTGTGGTCACATGTGAGATCCCAGCGTGCGACGCGCACCACAATGAGGGCTTCTGGGCGGCCGAAAAGACACCAAAAGTTCCTTGAACACAAACAGGAGGAGCCCATTTAAGAACCAACATAATGAGACAGAAATGTTCTCCCCGCTGTTTCCTCTTAGATTTAATTAGGGATTACTTTCTGTAATGGAAAGAATACAAAACTTTTTTATTGGCCCCTTGCCCCGCTTGCTCTCTAGGCATTACCACAGTGGAAAAACATTAAATAATCATAACTCAAGCCATCTGCCAATAACAAGACATGCTGCACGGCTCAGGCGGTTGAAGGCACCCGGCCAAATCCCTCCTTGCCCGCCAACTGTCTGCAATGTGCTCCCCCTGCTCCCCCAGAGCATTTTTGTTCTGCAAACACAATGAGGGGCCCAGAGGCAGGGGATGAACATCAAGGGAGAATTACATCCTAACAAATTGCCCTTTCTGCTCTCCCACGTACTTTCTGGTGGGAGGGAGAAGGGGAGGTGCGAAGCCGATGCGTTTTCCCAATAGCATGAAATGGGAACATCTGTTTGGTGACTGAGATTAGCGTGAGAGCCACGTCTCATTTATTTTCCTCTACCGTTGCCTGTAACAGGGAGCCAAAGATGGGAATTACAGCCCAAGAAACAGCATTATGAGGGTACTTTGGTCTCACCGGCTCGGAGAAAGATGGGGATGCTGCTGAATGCAAGTACTGCAAAGAGGGGGCCCTGGTATCCTGCAGAAATCCCCCCAGGTAGACAAAGCCTTCCATGGCCTTCAGCAGCACTCAAACACTTGCACAGCACAACCCCAGCATGTGTGCACGGGGGGCTGACACCTCAGCGTCAGTGACAAGACCACCCCTTTTCATTTCTTAGGTCAGGATGACAAAAAGCAAGGCAGCAGTACTCAGTTTTCAGCCTGAAATACGTTGACCTGCTTAAATGAATACATCTTCATAAAAAATACGCAGTCCTTGGGGCAGGCATGAATTGAAGCTTTGACATTCAAAGAGGTAAAAGTCTGTGCTGCTGCCCAAAGAGAACCCGCCCCCAGCACTCCAGCAGGGCTCTGGGTTGTATTTCTTTCCCGTGCTAATTTTACTAAAGACACAACTCATATTCCTGTTGATTGAACAGTTTTGTGTTGACAGCATTGAAGATTTGTGATGAAACTTATCATCAGCACCGAGAGCGGGCCATTAGTACCAGTCACAGTGGCTAGCTGCTGCTGATATATTTTACGGCATGCTCCACAGACAAACACACACATTTATATGTCACTTGTTGCAATATAAATGCTAACTTGTACTTCTTTCAAAACTTTTAATGAATTGTATACATTTCATGAGATTTACAGCGTGAACCGAACTGCTCAAAACATTCCTTTAAACATATTTGTCACTTTGGCAACAGAACAACAAAAATCTGGAAGGTATTGTGTTTAGAAATAAATCACAAATACACGCATCCTAAAGGAGTTTATTTTGGTCATTAATAGTTGATGCTCCCCCCCCTCCCAGCTCAGGATTTAAAGTTAAATTATGCAAAATCAAAAACAAACCTTATAATACTTAATCAAACATGCATAAAGCTGTCAGGACCAAATAAATTCTCTCAATTAACTTGCTTCAGATTGTGATTGCATTTACTAATTTAATCAACACTAGAATAATTTGGAGAGCGGGTAGTGATAAATTGCCGTGGTGCTGCGCATGAAGAGCCGCCAATGCAGCGTGTGCTGAGACAGGAATGCAGGAAGTGCTTGCTGGGCTGGGGGCAAGATGTCGTAGCAGCTGAGTTGTCACAGTCATTTTGTAACACAAATGTCCTGCTCCCATTTTTCTGGGGTGGATTTTTTTTTTTTTTTGCCAGTAAGAAGTGAAAACGCCTCACGGATGGCTCTATTCTGAACAAATTAGTGTTCGCCCATGGAATCATTCTCCTTCCAATCTGAGATGAGTTTAGAAGTGAAGCATTGCAGTGCAGGCATTGGCTCCACCTTTTTTGCTCAGTTTGTGGATGAGACCTTTAGCTCTCTTTAGCTCTGAACGCAGCTGCAGCTTCCTGTCCTGCTCTTCAGCTCCAATGCACTCCTGGAGCTGGAGTAACAGCCCGGTCGTGCTAAGATGTCCTTCAGCTCTGTCCTTTTGCACTTAGAATGGAGCTGCTCTTACAATAAAATGCATCTGACCTCTGTCCAGGAAAAGCTTTCAGTACTATTACTTGGGGAGGGCTAAACATCTGATTTTTACAAGCATAAGCAAGGTTTTATGGAGGGGTTCTTTTACAGGTTGACGTGAAGAAAGCTGTGAAGTATTCAGCCCTGTGAAGTACCTGGATCTCCAAAAATCAAATCCAAAAATCCTTATCTGGTCCGTTACCTTTCTACATCTGTTTCACAAAACATAACAACGTTCATATGGTGGCTGTGGGAATAAACTCACTGCGTTGCTCTTTCTCTCCCTCTTCCTCCCTTCTCTGCAAAATATACCTCACAGAGGACAGCTTATCATTTTTGTCACCTTTTATTTGAAACAGAGGTGGTGCTGTATAGAAGTATAGCTCCGATGCCATCTGGTCAGCAGCAGAAATTAAGTGGATACTAACCTGGGTGTGCTGAAAATGGATCCAGTATACAGCTCACAATTTTCAGCAACCCAGAAACAACTGCTTGCACAGCGACTCCATAGCCTTAGGAAGGTCTTAGAGCCATAATTCCAGATCCTAAAGACAATGAACGTGTTGATGTGAGATTTTGTAAGCTAGCATTCATTGCTGCTTACCACTCATATCTAAAATCACCATTCCAAACCAGCAGCACCTGTACAAACTCCTGTGGGCTTTGCTGAAGCTCTCTGTAAAGCTAAAATGTAACAAATTGAGAAATTAATGCTTTTGTTTTCCTTGAAGGAGATTTAGGATCAAGTCTCAACCTTAAATTTTAAATGTAATCGATTTACACAACAAATCTACGCTGCAAAAGCTTGTGAAATAATTTTTCCTTATTACTCCTTTCCAGTTCTCATCTCTTAGCTTAAATGTCAGCTTTAATCAGGTTGAAGAGATTTGCATGTGGTAAATAATAATGCAATAGATTAGACTAATCAAATCAAATTCCACGTAGCAGAAAGCAGAACTAATTCCCACTCCTGCAGTGGTTCTGTATTAGCTCCAAGGCCCTGCAGCTCTCCCTGCAAATCAGCAGGGCTGCGAGGCGCCCGCCTCAGCTCGCGGGGCTCTTTGAGCTGCAGCAGTGCTGTGAGCAGAGGGATGGAGAGCTGCCCTGCGCCTCAGGAGATGAAGCAGTGGTTGTGTGAGATGCTGGAGTCGCAGCAGGAGCCAGCTGCTCACATGTGGAGGGGGAGAAGCCGTCTGTAAAACAAATGAAAACGGAGCTAGCTGCTTTGTGTGGACAGGATTCCTGCCAGCGCTTGTTGCTGCATCGCTCCGGGTAGCTCTGAGCTGGCTGATGTCAGAAACAGCCCAGCACGCATAAAGCTCTCATGGAGAAATGTCCTTACTGCGTCCTGTTCACTTCTGGGAAAGAGCAGGCATGTGGGACAGGTGGAGAGAGATGGAGAGAGCAGGGACAGACTCCACTCGCCCAAGTTGTGTTTTCCCAGCTCCCCCCACACCCTCAGCCCTCCTCTGGAGATCAGTGGCGCCATCCACTGCACATCAGTTCAGAGCTAAGTTTAGAGACAGCGTTCATTTTCCTGAGATTCACAAAAAGCAGCTTTGCCACCATTTCTTCTGCCCAGTGACAGAGCATCACTCAGTGCCCGAAGCCACCACAGCATCGCCGTCAGCACCAAGGGGTTCGCTGTGTCAGAATT